AAATTACCTTCTACCGAGAATTGTGGAAAGCCTAATCACTGCAAATTTGGATGAAATTAAATTTTTCGAAATGAAACTATATGATTTTCTTATGAATTAGAAGCAAATAATTATTTTTTGGTGTTAATGACTTTTCTACTTCTATCTACTTCATTTTTTCTTAAAATTTTTGATCAATATCTAATAGATAATAAAAGCAAATTAATTCATTGGGTATTAGCTAGCATTAATATAGTTTCTCATGGAAGCTACTTGTTTTTCTCGAAATTCGTGACGGTTGAAAAAAAATTGCTTCATTTTTCACTAAGGGTATAATAGAAATTTGGTACCATATTTGGCCATTTTTACAAGGTTTATCAAAATTAGACACCTTTCAATTGACAAGCATGAAATTGGCTATTTTTTAAAATTCCTCCGTAAAAAATAAACTGATTTTCTATTTTAGCATAATTGGAAATCCCTTAGGTGCCCTGCCATTGAAATTCTTTATTGTATATCCACTGTTGCTGATAGGTTTGAGATATTTACTGTTGATATCAAATTTTGCATGGCTGATTTTTCAACCAACTTCACTTGGTAGGTAAGTTAGTTCTAGAAAACAACCTCTTAGGAGAGGAAAGATGGGAGACGCAATGGCCGAGGACTATGTGATACTGAAGTTCGATGAGGTCGTAACTAAATTTAACTGTAAAAAACGAGTGGTAGAGACCAGAGAATGTGTATCGAAATTCATTTATTTTTTATTTACAAATATTTTTTGACTATCATTAAAATGATTAATTTAACTTTGCCTTGTAACTTTTGTCTAGTAGATGGGATTTTATTAAGTTGTCATCGATCTATGTGGCAGCGTGTTCTTTAAATTATTTGTCTTGTTATATTTACTGATTAATTAATAGGCTGATTATGTATCTTCTACTAGGCATTTGCAGCTTCTAGGAGCTTACGTTTTGGCAGAGAAAGCTTAGCATCTGTTTGGGTTTCAATATCTTAAAACTTATTTTGTTCAAATTCATTATCAACTAAACATTCTTTCAATAAATTTACACGTAAATTCCAATTTTTTTGCCACATATTCTTTAAAAAAAATCTATTACAATTTTTTTTTTTTTTTATTGACTCAAATAGGAGCTTAAGATACCAAGACTAAGGTCATAAGAATAGAGGCTATCAATTCTGCATCTTTTTGTTTATCGATAGGGTATTGAACCTTTACCACGGCGGAGTCAGGTTAGACCGTTTAGGTTGGCAATACTCTAGGTATTGACCGCAAAGCTATATATCATTGTGCTGTCAATAGCACGAAGGCCAATAAAAAATATTTTTTTAGTAGATTTTAAGAAAAAATGATGAAATGCAAGGTTGAAAAATGGTAGATTTTATGAAATTTGTGTTAAAATTAATTTATATTTTATCAAAAAAAATTTAGTTAAACCAAATAGGAGCTTATGCTTAAGCTCTCAAATTTATACCATATTGGCTCGACTATTTTTGTACTTAGATAAGGTGGAAATCCACATCACTTATTGTGACTCTTGTAAAATATCTATTATTTTCATTAAAATAATAGAACATAAATTCAAAAATAAAATAAATTATCAATTTTGTGACTCAATCTAAAGCATATATTATTTTGAATTAATAGCAGAAAACTCCCTAGAAATGCTTCTATTTGTGATATACTTCCTTACCTATTGGAAATTGCAAAAAACTCATATATTTGAAACATTTCGTGCGAAAACCCTCATATCGTCAGATTTTCCGTTAAAAACAGTCAAAATTTAATAGTAATTGTAATTCTAGTACCCTAACTTTTTATACAAATTATATACCCAATTTTTTTTATATACCACCCACAATCTTAAACATTTAAAATTTTATTTTCTGCCCCACTCCACTTTATCTTTTTCCCCAAAATTAATTTATCTAATTAGAAATAAAGGCCAAAAGTACAACCAGTTGTAATCTAAGCCAAATGTTGCAGTTGCATAAGATCTACTACCTTGGCTCACCATCTGTCTAAAGTCAATCAGCCACCACCCTCACCAGCAAACAGTTGAGAATGGTGCCATGTATTAATCTTATTAATTAAGTAATCAAACCCCATTAATATCAATTAATCCTTCTCTAATTATCAATTCTCTCTTATACACGTGTGTAGTTCAGTTTGCATTATACCAACCTGACTTAAAACACTGCCTCTGTGATCATAAAACATTGCCCCTGTGATGTTCTTTAATTTCAACAATGCGAGTTGTGGGCCCCGTCGATTTTGTCCTCTCTTTTGCTTTCTCATCTTGCTTCTTCTTCTCTGATTCGCTACTATTACTTGCGCTGGACACTTTAATCGTGTACGTCTAATCAATTGGGGAATCTCAGTCCTTCCCCTCAATCTTCGTCGTCCATTTGTAACTCTTCTTCAAACCCTTCTTGTGATCCTTGAAATCCTTGACCTCCGCTGTCCATTTATACTTCCTATCAACCCCTTCTTTCTCTGGACTCGTATTCTCTCAATTCCATGCGTACTTTCTCTCCTCGATCTTCTCCTCCTCCGCCTTCACCAGGCGGTCAAATCCCAGCTCCAATGCTGAAACCCGATCACAGAGAGATTGCAAGTACAAATTCTAGGCGAGCCCAACTCTGTGCTTGATTTGGTGAGTAGAGGTGTAGAACAAGGCCCTTGACTACGCGGTTGAGGGCAACAAAGTGTTTTGTGAGGTGTGTGGTTGAGGGAGATCCGAGCTTGGATTTGGCGATGAGTTTGCATGTTATCGCAACGATTGACTACAATTTGGGAAGGTTTGAGGAAGCTGTGTCTGTTTTGGAACATGCAATTAAAATGTCGAAAATGCCGAGTGGTGGAAAATAAAGTTTTAAATGTTTGAGATTGTGGGTGGTATATAAAAAAACTTGGGTATAATTTTTAAAAGAATAAAAAGTTTGGATACTAAAATTACAATAATTACTTTTAAAATTTGACATTTTTACTGTTTTTAACGGAAAATTTGACGGTATGAGGGGTTTTATGCACAAAATGTTTTAAATAGAGGGGGTTTTCTACTATTAATCTTATTATTTTTATTAAAATAATTAAACATAGAATTCAAAAAAAAAAAAAATGAATTATCAAGTTTTTGATGATCGTAAGATTCTAGGTTTTCAATTTCATTTCTTCATGAAGTATATGACGAATGAAAAATAAAAATTGTAAAAAAGGCAATAATTATGAATATGCGAAGCGAACAGCTTCTTATCTTTTGATGATTTTCATATTCCAAATTTGAATTAATATTAGAAGATATTTGTATATAGATAGTTCATGTTTGGGAAAGCTTATTATAATGAGCTTTTTTTGACAGCTCGACTCAATTGTACTTTAGTACAAATTCAATTAACCCAGCTCTCTAACAGGAAACATGTTTTACAATTATAAAAATTTGTTTGATTCCCATTTTTTTTAAAATATATTTTTCTTTCTTTTCTTCTTAATCACACAATCTTCAATAAAATAATATTACATGCAAATTAAAAAAATTTCTTTATTTTTTAATCACATATTCTTCATCAATCTATTATTTTAAAATACATTCTAACCCAAAAAATATGGCTGAACGTGCCCTTAGGTTTTTTTATAGTACTTTTTCATCAAAAATAGAAAATAATTTCCTAAGATATAGGCAGCTACAGAAATGTTGTAATTAATTAAGAAAATAATAGAAATTTCTATTATAATATTATCATATAAAGGTGATAATCAACAATATAGGAAATTATGTTCATCGTACAAGAAAAAACCAAAAATCAATCAAGAAATTAAGATGATTTATTGCTATCTTTTGCCAAACTTTCTGCGATCTGAGCCAGCGACTGCAAATTGCACCTCACAATTGTATCAACAAATGCGCAAGTTTCCTCATTTGTGTTGCCTTGTGGTATATCAACAGCGTATGACTCCACGACCACGGTGCCGTGATTCCCAGCGCCACCACTGGGTGGCGGCGTTGCATGTAGAGTAGTGACAGACCGGTAATTATGCAGCCTATGATCGCCGCCCACAACGCTGAAACTCATCACATGTTTCTCATCATCCAAGATTTCGAGCCTTTCAGTACTTGACGCCGCCGGTAAACCAGATACAACGAGCACCTCCCGGAGGGTCCCCACGTTGCCGTCGCCCATCACGTGACAGCTCTTGAGGAAGTGCTTGTACGCATGCGGTTTGTCGAACCGGCGGACGACGGACCACACTGTTGCAACCGGCGCATCTATAGCTTGCACCACCGAGGAAGAGCACTGGTTGGGCGCCACCGCGTGCGTGTGGTGGTGCAACACGATATCCGGTACATAAATTTCGCTGGACACCGGGATGACCCATGTGGGTGTCGCTTGTTCATGATGGAATTTCACGGTGGCGCAGGTGGCGGTATCACTAATAGGATTGATTCTATGAAGCTGAAGAGAAGAATGCATTTCCATATTTCGCTATTCTTCTCACTTTCCTGGACTGTTCTAACGAGAATGAATTGTGAATTTGTAACGGTATGTGATGTTGTATATAAGGTTGTGCTACATGACCACAAAGTTTGATATCATGATTGACATAATACCAAATGACATCTCATCATTAGATTATTTTAAACACAATCGATTTTTTCACCCAATCACTTCTCTCCGCTATAACCTTTTCTATCAATAAATCCGACCAAATTCTTTTGGTAAAGTAGCATTATTATATATATAAAATCCCTATCCCTATTCGTCTGTACATTCAAATATATCATATATGCAAGTGTAAAGAGAGAGTACAAATCTTTGTCTACTTGACTACTTGCAATAGTTTGATTTTAAAATATAATAATAATTATAATTACAAAGCTTGGGGTGGGGTGCAAGTGGATGGGCAACTTGCATAGGCATATTTGGACGCAGTCATATTTGAAATTGACCGAGGCATGTGCTATAATTACGTGATCTGCCCGGGAGTTCGTTATCCTAGGTTTTTAAATTGAAATGACTGAAATGCCCTTTATGAGGAAGTTAATTACTTGATTTAGGGTGAGCACGAGGGGTTGGTATAGGAATGGAGAAGGTCCACTAAAGAATTAATTGGTTTTCTTATGGGGAAATTGAGTACTGTTTTTCATAATGAAGATTATCAGTATGCATACGATAGTATATCATTTGACACATTAATGCGATAATATTTTATGTATCAAATAATAAATTAAAACATATATAGCACGTAAAACGATCGCAGATACTTTTCACTATGAACATCATTATTCGAGGAAATTATCTCTCTTTTATAGTTAATACATTCAATTCTTTCATAGTAATTAATTCATAATATAACTAAATAATACGTGTTAAGATATTTTTCGTTAATACATTCAATTCTTTCATGGTATGAGCACTAATTAAGAATTTTTCGTATGTTGGCGATGCTAAGTGATGTGATATGATGAGGTGATGAAATTTGAAATCAAATTGAAGTGTATAATTGACCCAATGGAGATTTCTTTAGAAGTCCAATGACCACAGATGAAATATACCCAAAAACAACATATGGCGGGAAATAATCTTTTTCTAATAGTGTACAATTAGCTACGTAATAATACTTCGCCTCAATTTGTTATAGCAAAAAAATCAGTTTTTTAATAGAATTCGATAAAAAAAAGAATGAAATGTGTAGTTGAAAAATCGATAATAGTTGTGGATTCCGAACAATATATAATTGAAAATGAGTTTGATGAAAAATGAATTTTAGAAAATGGGTATAAATATGAGCTTAATAGGTAAATTATATATATTTTTTGAGAAAGAGGAATTAATTTTAAATTGGCATTCTTAGTGGAATAAAGCTATTGTACCAGAAGAAAATTGCCCACCTGAGTGACCTACTCTCACATAAGTGTGGGACTGACGTGGGACTCGTGTGAAATAAAAAATGAAAATTGCCCAACTGAGTGACACCCTCCCTGGCACTGCAGCTTCGTCCTTCTTAGCGACCTCCATAAAGTTTTGAATTGATGAATAGTCAAGATCATGATTAAATAAAGCTTGTATAGTCCACCAAGAAATGCCTATTATAAGTAAGTATTATTATTTTTTTAATAGTGGAATTTAAATATCAACTAATTCTTGTCATTTCAATTCAGTCACTTGGCAACATCTAGAAGCCAACAGCCAAGCTACAACTAATTGAGCTACAAATCTATTGAACAATTAATTGTTTCAATTTATATAAATTAACTGAGCTACAAGTTTATGTGTTGAAGAAAAAAATATAGGCTGGCCTTTTACAATTGATTGATTGTTGAATTTATATGCTTGTCAATTAAACATGATGCATCTATGGTGAGGATTAATATTCATATAATTGTATCAATTATAAAAAACATATGTTCAATAGAGGAGTTCGGGAAAAAAATTTATGCGCTTTCTTCGAAAAATTAGTACTCAGAATTCTTGTTGGTCCTCGGATGACCTAAAAAAAACATACGTTAATTCATAAAAAAACATATGTTCTATCATCAGAGATGAATACGCCAACAAATAAAGAATTTTAAGTTCGTTTCACAGTTTTGTTTTTTCAAGCCTTCTTTAATTTTTTAGTTTAATTAACTTTTCAATCACAATTTTTCTTAACTATTATCAAAATTTACTAAAAATCTAAATTTTTGTCCAAATGAAATAGAGACTTAACCTCCAAATAAAATATTACTTGGAGACTAATTATATTTTGTGGAAATGGAAGAAATTCCTATTCCTATTCCAATTTTATATAGAATATACAGATTAATTTGCTGTTTGTCCTACTTGTAGTATTTGACTTTTCTACATGGAATAAGAATAATAAGATTGATATTTATTCCTCACACTCAATAGGACCAAAGGACTCCTCTTTGTGCAAATAGAGGCCTGAGAATGAAAATCGTGTAAATCCTGTTCGAAGAAGTAATAAAAAAAAAATTGAAACAATAAATGAAAAAAAATTAACTTACAATTTGTACGAAGCAGTAATAAAAAAAATAGAGTGCGATTGAATTATATATGATATTTCTGTTGAGAGAAAAAAATTCCCACATCGACTACACATGAGAAATATGATGAGTTTATAATGATGAACAAGTATCTCAATTGGTATGAGGCCTTTTGGGGTAA